TGCTCCTATGATGCTGCTTGGCCTGCTGTGTTCATCCAGCTCTACACTTTGTTATTTCCTATTTTCTCTGTTGTTTTATTACAGGATCTTACAGCACAGCAGGAGGCAATTCAGCTCATTTGTCCGCGATAGCTCTTTGAACAAGTTATCCAATTAGTCTCACACTTTCCCCACAGTTCTGCAAATTTTCTCCCCTTCAAGTGTTCATCTAATTCTCCTTTTAAAGTCATTATTGTATCTGCTTCAACCCTTTCAGATGGTGCACTGTTCTGAATTAAAATGTTTCAGGAACAGGTCAAAGTCCAGGTTAAGGGCCAAAATCGCGGTTTCTTGAGAGAGCACAGAACATATGTAGACATCCTGGTAATGTAGTGAAATGCACAGGGTCTCATGGTCTCTTGTGCCCAACTGTTTCCTAGTGCCCAGGAATTGTCAATATGGTTTGTCAGCAACTTTACCCTCTCCCAGGCTGCAGGTGCTGTTTGAAGCCTAGAGGGTCTACTGTTATGCACTTTGGCAGGAGGAATAGACAAGCTGAAGATTATTTGAATGGAGAAAGATTGTGGAAAGCTGCAGCACAGAAGGATTTGGGGCTCCTTGTGCATAAGTCACAAATAGCTAGTATTGACGTTCAGAAGGTAATAAGGATGGCAAATGGTCTATTAGCCTCTATTTCAAAGAAAATGAAGTTTAAAAATAGTGAATTCTTGCTATGATTAAATAAAATACTAGTTAGACTGCACCTATATATTGTGAATAGTCTTCATCCCATTATCTAAGGAAAGATATTGCTATTGGTTGCCAAAGGTTTACTGAGCTGATCCTAGAGGGAGGGATTTTCTTACGAGAGGAAGTTGAGTAGGTTAGGCCTGTACTTGTTGGATTTTACAAAAACAAGTGGCAACTTCATTGAAACGTACAAGATTCTTAAGGAGCTTGAGAGGATAGATGCAAAAAGATTGTTTCCCCTTGTGGGAAAGTGTAGGACCAGAGGGCATAATCTCAGAGTTAAGCAGAAGCCCATTTAGGACAGAAATGAAGAGGAATTTCTTCTCGCAAGGATAATGAATTTATGGAATGCTTCATAGCAAAGGTGTGTGGAGGCTGGGTCATTAAGGTATATTCGAGGCTGAAGCAGACAGATTTGTGATCAGTAAGAGCTAGTGTTATGGGGAAAAGGCAAGAAAGTGGATTTGAGGATTATCAGATGAGCTGAATGGCCGATCAGACTTGACAGGCTGAATAACCTACTTCTGCTCCTATGTCTCATGGATTTATAATAACTCGGTGTGTAAAAACAACCACTCATCATCTTGCTTCTGGTTCTTCTGCCCATTACCTTAAAGCTATGCCCTCTAGTTCCTGATTCTCCTGCTTCTGGAAATAATTTCCCCTTCTTTCAAAACCCTTCAAAATGTTGAACACCTTCAGTAAATCTTCCCTTCACCTTCACTGCGGTAAGAATAACACCCTCAGTTTCTCCAGTCCCTGCAAGTCACTGAAGTCCCTCATTGTCCGGTGCTATTCGAGTAAGTAGCATCCTCAAGGCTTGAGAATTCTCCTTTAAGTTTGAGGCTCAGAATTTGATATCATATT